TGCAATATGCGTTTTTGCTGCCTGTTGCAGCGCTCTAGTGCTGCACGGCAAAAACGCATAAAAAGTCATGTACAGAGGAGCATGTAAAAGGAAGTATGCTTTGTTTCATCCCTAAGCTGTAAACACAGATAGTAAAAGATGCCGTTAGGGGTGGGGATCATCAGTACAGCCCCATAGCCACCATGTGATCGTGTAAATAACCAGAAGGGGGGAAGAGGGAGGATAAAAATATGCAAAGAAAAGAAAAGAGGTAAGGAGGAAGTCTTAAAAAGCTAACGTGGGGGACGTAGTTATCTGCCTTACTGCGTTTAGACGTCGGCTCTCCTTGTGATGCCGTGCTGAAAATACTCACACTAAGAAGACACGCTGTTACAACAAATCCGCATTGGCGAATAGCATCTCACAAATCAAGTTAACGCCATTTATTACAATATATGTATTTATTTACTGAGGACAATAATGTACCTATCAACAAATTTACGGACACACTGATTTAATCTGTGTAAGTAGTAGCCCCTTCCTAAATAAGCACTAAGTAATCGTTTGTTCCACCAAAAAAATCGATCTAAAGAAGTACAGATGAGAGAGTATCACAACATTTGGGAAATGAGGATACCTTCATGAAGAGTTCGGTCAACATCACTATCAAGACCATTATAGTAGTTTACCAAAAGACGAAAGATAAGTGCTTTACTGTAAACGTCAAAGATGCACCCATTGCTATGACAGGAGATTTCTAAATCCAGAAAACAAGCCCTATGACCATAATGAGTGGTCTTAAGTTCTAGCATATCGCCATATATGTCTCGGGTGATGGCCGGGAAAGTGGAACTAATAAACTACTAAGATGTCGTCAATGTAACGGAAGTCTCAACCTAATATGGCTGTGCTTCTTTAAATAACGGTACCCCATAATGGAAAGAGTTAAGTCAGCAGTGTCGGGACTGGTATTACTACCCATAGGTACACCTTAAGTTTGATGAAAGATTGCTCCTCTAAAGCTAACATACGTCTCGTCAAGAACAGTAAAAATAATGGACTTAACCTCTCCCAGTGTGTAATTGGCGGTATTTTGGGGTGGTGTGTTTGTAAACCAGCATTTAGTATCAGAAAGTACAAGCAGATCTTTCTCAGCATTCGAGAAGGACAAATTAATCAGGCAATTATGAATGCCAGAATGTGGCAAATTGGTGAACGGGTTATTGAAGTCGGCACTAAACGAATATCTAACGTCATCATTGAAGGCTGATAGTTTATTAACAACATCCGAAGAGCTACAGATGCTGAAGTAAACCTGCCTCCCTGTATTCTCAGCAATTTTATTGCAGTAATTATGGAAGCAACTCCGTAGTTGATCCAAAATACGGTAAGTAGTAGATGCAAGAGGTCGAAGTGTAGAATGGCGCTTACCAGCAATAAATCGGTACCCATAGGAACTCTTATGCAACTTAGGAATGGCATATGAAATGGAAATACGAACATCAATATGTCCAGTATCCAAATTAAATCTTTTCAGTAAGGTTCTATGTTGATAAAAGAGGTTGTGTACAGTCTGTATCAACTGGACTGTAAATACTATTACCCAGTACCATCCCAGAAGTGGTGAAAACTAGTTCTTGACAAAGCAATTCAGCATAATATTTTTTGCAAATGAAAATGTATTTATTAGACGCCTTGTCAACAGCGGTGCTAACGTACAGGCCCTGCAGGAGACGCAATGCCTTAACAAACTTGGATAAACTGGGCAGTGCATTACCCAGGCATTGACAGCCTCAACTTCGAATTACCCAAGGATCCGGTTTTTAAAGAACTCATGGTCCGTAATGCCTTTCTGGTGAATTCATGCCGCCTTAAGAATGAACCTGTTGAGAGCTAATGAAATGTCACTAAAAACTTCTTCGAACTGACGCCTCAGACATAATTCGGCGGAGGGTTACATCACGGACAATGTTGAGGTCGCCAATGACTACGTGATCAACAGGTATGTAAACAAAAGGTAATGCTGAACATTGGCAAGCAGATGATAGTAAAACTATAAATAATGCAGGATTCTCGTTAAGATTATTAAGGAAACTGTTAGAATTCATTATACGTGTACTAATAGGCTTTTCATAAGTAAAAGTTAAAATGGCAGGTGGGAAAGTACGGACGGGAAAAAGCCGCCTTGCTAAAGTGTCATGGAAAATCGACCGAAGGTCAAGGAAATCACACATGTGACCGGGGTACGGCACAAAGAAGTAGGCCGAATCAGATTTTTTATCACGATGGCGTGCAGGTCTAAGATGATTCAGTAGAAAACCATGAAAGATACAGTGTACAAAGTGGACACTCGTCGGTGTAATGCGAGTAACGTAGGTAAATTGGCCCGGTTAAGTCTACCAAGAAGGCCCTTAATCTAATTTGGAGTATGAATGGAGCAAGATACAGCCTAAGTGACTAATCCCATATCAACAAGCCTAGACTTGCGTTTACATCTACCATGACGGCGCACCCTACAAGGTAGCGGTGTTTGGAAATATGGACTTCCAATAGTGAAAGGCAGCAGACCATCAGATACTGTGCCGTAAGAACTGACGCTATCGTTTAGATCGTAAGGATACGCTGTATCAAGTGCTTTAATTCAGAACAACTCACGCTCCTGTAAAGACGTGGTATCAGCACCGACTGTCTTAATAAATTCAAAATTTAAGGATTCAAGGCTGTGGTCGGATTGCTGGAAGTATCGATAAAGGATGGTATTTGCTCTCCGTGTAACAGCTAACCGGTGTTACTTTGTACGTTCCCGTAGACTCCTAGAAGTCTGACCAATATATTGCATTTGACAAGTGTTACAAGTGATCATGTAGACGACATCTTTAGTTTTGCAATTAAGGGGAACGTTTGGGCGACAAAGGGGATTGAAGGTACGGCCACTGATGGTGACATGTACCAAGCCGCCAGAACAAACCATGCGGCAGCAGAGACATTTGCGCCGCAGGGGACAGTGACACGAGTATGTTGGGGTATGTCAAATGCAGGGACACGAGTAAATCGAAAATTGTTACCAATACAGAAATAATTGCCCAACGCATGGGCTGCCCGTGTGAAGATGCGTTTTTTGCACAGTTCCCCGCAGTTTTTGTTGCTACTGGCACCGTCTCTTTCGGCAAATGCTTCTAGCTAAACAAATTAAGACCGGCCGCCAGAACTGTCAGGAAACACCCCCCTAAAATTTAAGCTTTCTAGGTTTTCTGGCTCCTGAGTTAGCAACTTACTGGAAAAAAACTTTCGCGGGCGTACGTGGGTGACACACATACCCGATGTTTGGGTTTGAGCTCGTTAAGACTTACGTGGACATGGAACACCCTCTTACAACTACAGTCTTCTAGCTTTCCAGGTTTTCGAGTTAGCAACTTATCCGAGAAATTTGGTGAGCCCGTGCGTGGGTACCACGCATACCGGAGGGCTGGGTTTGAGCTGAATGAGACTTAATTGGACGGGGAATATAATCTTAAAATTACAATCCTTTAGCTTTTCAGGTACTCGAGTTATCAACTTGCCCGAAAAAACTTTGGGGGCTCGTACGTAGGTACCACGCGTACCGGGGGCTGGGTTTGAGCCCATTAATACTTACATGGACGGGGAACATTCCCTTAAAATTTCAGCCTCAAAGCATTTCTGGCTCCCGAGTTAGCAGCTTACCCGTAGAAAATTTTGGCGGGCTCTTACGTGGGCACCACGCGGGTAATGGCGCCCATTTTGGGGATTGGAGCTCGCACGTGCATGTAGATTAAGTTCCCAAAGTTTCGGCCCTGTAGCTTTTGTAGATCTTGAGATGAAAAACCGTGTCAGGTGCATACACGGACACACAGACGCACACACACAGACAACCCCTCGTCAATATGCGTTTTCTGCATTGCATAGCTGCAAAAAACGCACAAAAATACTGAAGTGTGTAACCATCCCTAAAAAAAGCCAGTACATCCCGGGACGATCTGGAGAATGCAGAGGCAACATCAAAAACAGCGTTAGAATTAGCTCACAGTTGGTATGAAAAAGCGCCTGGCCAAAGACGCAATCCCTCCTTTTAGGACCCGTGCTACTGGGTAGGGCTGCTGCCTATCGGGTTACGACCAAAACCCAAAATACTCCACCATAGCCAGGCGGCGACGAGAGTCTCAGTTCGTCAACCTTTTAACCGGTGACCGGAGTTGGAGCTCCGGAAGCCTGGTAAGGCCGAGAGGTTGGAATCTCTCTGATGCTGAGGTGCCAAACGTAAGTAGCTAAAGACGGGTTGCAATGAACGGAAATGCCTGGAAGGCACCCGTAATTAAGAACCGCCAAAAAGTGAAATGTAGGTGTAGACGTGAATGACATGTTGATAGGCGCATCTGAAAATCTGAATATGTAATGAGGAGGGAGAGGGAAAGAGGGTGCAGAAAGGGATGGGGATACCCAAGAGATGCGTGCTAAAAATTCAGTAAAAGAGCACTTACGAGTGATGTAGGAAATTGGCCTAATGTAAAGTACATAATACAGCAAAAACGAACCATTTATAGAAAGTTTTAAAAAAAAAAGAACATCAAAAAAATTTTTTTTTCATATACATAACAGACACAGTGGAACAGCTAATACGAAAAGCAGAAAAGAAAAAAAAAGCACAGCAGGCACAACCTCAAGTTCTTCCAAAGCAAATAAATAGTAATGCGCACCAGACTAGCCGGTGCGATCATGCGTTTTGTGCAATTCAGCCCATCGAACGATTGCCT